CAAGGCTCGAACCCGTTGGAAGCGGAAACGGACGCTCTCCAGCGCTTCTATGACAACAAGCTTCGCATCGAGGAAGCCCGCCGCAACAACCCCGAAGCCACGTTCGACTACAACCACCCGTTCGCCCTCATGACGGAAGCCGAGTTCAAGGACCTTGTGGTCGGTCGTTCGTTCCAGCAAGGCCTGAGCGCCGTAAACGCTCTCCCGTCGGGCGACGTCAACCTGAACGCACCCCAAGCTGCATCGGTGGACTGAACCACCGGCAAATGTGTCAACCCCATTCGCAACCAAGGTAACTGCGGGTCTTGCTGGGCCTTTTCGGCTGTGGGAACGTCGGAGTCGGCCCACTGCCTCGCGTCGGGAGAGCTCCTCGACTTGTCCGAACAGCAAGTGACGAGTTGCTCGACCAACGGTTGCAACAGTGGCTATGAGGATACAGCCATCGACTACCTTGTCAGCACTGGCGTGTGCCTGGAGCGAGACTTTCCCTACACGTCTGGCACCACTGGCTTGACTGGCTCGTGCGCCAACTCGTGCACCAAGAAGAAGCTCAGCATCGGTGCGACCGTCCTGGTTCATGGCGAGTCTGCCACGGTCGCCGCATTGAACAACCAGCCTGTGTCCGTGGCTGTCGAGGCAGGCAACTCGGTGTGGATGAACTACCGCAGCGGTGTCGTCTCGCAATGCCCTGGCGCGAACTCGGACCACGCCGTCATCGCTGTGGGGTACGATACTTCGTCTATTAAGATCCGCAACTCGTGGAGCGCCAACTGGGGCGAAGCTGGACACATCCGCCTCAAACGGCGCTGGCAACGGCACGTGCAACGTCGTCGAGTGGGTGTCGTTCCCCACCATCGGTGGCTCGCCCAAGCCCACGACTACCAAGCCCACTACTAAGCCCAAGACGACTACCCCTGCTCCCGCGTCTGCCCAGCCTGACGGGTGTGACAACTGCAGCGGATGCTACTACCCGGCCGGGGACATGTGTTTGCCGGATGAATACACCAAGGACGACAGCGACTACTACAGCGTCGAGTACAACACAGGCAACTAAGCGCGGGTGCCCTGAACCTTGATTGCACCTACGATTCTTTGTGTCCACGTAAGGTAGGCGGTCTGTACCTCGTAAGGACAAGACCATTTCGCCATTTCACATATCAGTCTCGACGGTCATAAGTTTTCGAGGGGATGGTTGCATGGAACTACTCCGGAGTATATCATTACCGAACGTGGTCAGCAAGGTAAAGCGACAATCTCGCCTGACTCACATGACGTCCTTCTTCGAGCCAAGAAAGTCGATCCCATCCAGGAAATGCATGCTTGTATTTGCCAAGTATGGTGGTTGGGGCATTGCCGTCGCGATCGCGCTCGTGCTGGATGAACCTCTCCTTTTCCAGGACAATTGTATGTCGCACTACGTCGCGATGCTTGTCGAGTGCACAGGAATACGTACAGCGTACACTGGGCTAACACTTTGACGAGATGACATCCGTCGTGTCAGGGTACTTGGGTGCCCGACTCTGATTCGGGGGGCTGTGGTGATCATCACAGTTGCAACTGTCGGTCGTCGGTTTACCCAAAATTTGTTGACTTGTTACTCGAATATCGATATTGACGGTTTTTGACCAATCAGATGAGGCGCACCGTTCGTAATTGGACCGCCGCAAGCCCGATCGGACTCAGCTCGCCTCGACGCGCTTTGCCCCATACGTAGTACATACACGGAGAACTTGTTGAATGCCAACCATCGCCGCCGTTTGCCTCTCGTGCCAACATCGTCAAATTGAATCGTGTGGCTGGGATTGTCTCGATCGGCCGACCACTGCTGCTGCTGCTGCTGAGAAACCTTGCGGCATTGTGCCTCCTGAGCATGTCCACGTTGGAGCTGCAGCTACATGGCCCGTTGCTGATGTCGTTCGTCGTTCCGCTCATTCCGTGGTACTACGTAGTAGTTCGTACCTCCGTCCGGAAATAATATATTTCCACAGCAATTTTGTTTATGGACCTCGCTCCAAAATATCCATACTTTAATCTATAGAAAATGGAAACGGACGTCCGGTTCCGATCGAATACCTGGAATGATCGGTGATACTGATAACAATATCTGTATATCACACCGATCGTGAAACTAACTTGCAGCGCACGAAGGGACGAAAGACCATCGAGCATGGAGCAATTGCTGAGGTTGCACATGACTTTGGCGTAGATCGCATCTGGAAGCGAGTGGTTTCGAAAGGCAAAGTTGGCACTTGTAGTATCCAAGCTCTGTCCTCCGAGCACCGTCGTGTGGTCTGCGATACCCAGATGACGCTCGCGAACGTCCAGTACATTTTGAACCTAGCTGCCAACTAAGATGAGAGCCATTCACGCGTCTCAACGTCATAGGGTACTGCACCCCCACCGCGTTCTCAATCATGACGTGTTGTTGAGCCCGACGGACTGGTAGTTTTGCCACTGCAGGACAAACCGGTCGATGTCGGCGCCAGACCAGTCACCCACTTTGTCGCTGACAATTGTCGAAGGCGACGTTGCGATCATTTGTGGTCATAGCTGTCCCTCCAACGTATTCTGGTGCTCGGTTTGAATGCCCACCACGTGAAAGCTCGCCCCCCCACCCGCCCCTTTGTCCACGCAGCTCACTCAGCATTTCGTAGCAATGCCTCCTAGTATACCGCGCCATTCGACGATTCCGTCATGCAACGCTGCTGTCCAGCATTCGAGTTGGCCACTGGCCATCGCCGCTCGAAATCCACCCAGCAGTACTGAGTGGAAATCCATGGCACTGCGCACGGTTTCGACCACCTCAGTCCTGCGACCTCCACCCTTGCCGCGTCCTGTCGTTGAGCTTGCAAAGTTGTCCCGAATATCTTGGCATACCCGACAGTGATATTCGAGCTTGAAAAGTTGCTCGCCAACGCAGCCCATCGCGTCTCGTCCAAGCGAACGGCAAACAGCGGCCGATCGAAACGAGGCTGCATTTTGATGTTGAACCAATTCGCCACGACCGCGTGATGGCCCGTTATGTTGAACGGCGCCAAGTAAAGTCGTTGGCAATGTTCAAGGTCGACTTACGAGACGCTGACAAGACCAGACAGGACGAGGTTCAAGTTCCCGCTCAAGATCGCCAGGTGGCGCCAGCCACAACTTCGGTGCACAAGACTCTGCCTCCATACGACGTTGAGCGGGATTGAAACTCAGACGCAGCTAAGTTGGCGCAGTCAGCCAAGACCGTCGACAGCGACGCCGCAGTCAGGGCCGTCCGTCTAAGACCTGCGGCCACGACGGCCTGCACCACGGCTGGACACGGCACAATCTTCATGTCAATCGACCCAAATGGCCCAATCTCCCGCAGGACCGCCTCATACGTGTTGTAGAGCGGCGACTCGATCGTGCCATTTTGAAAGAGCAGACTCAACATTGACGTCGACCCGTTCCCAAACGCAAAGATGGCGCTCGTCTTGCCCGCGATGCAGGTTGCATTGTGTGCGATTGCCCACAGATTGCTGGCAAATGGCCAGTACCTTTTGAACGTCTGCAGCGTAGTTAGGTTGGACACACAGACCCGTTCTTGCGACTTAGGGTCATGGGGTACTGAATCCCGAACGCGTTCTCAATGATGTACGTGTGATAAGCCCGAGACGCTTGTAGTTTTGCCACTGCCCGACAAATATCACGACGCTCGCCGTCGTCCACTCGTCGGCTTCGACATGAACGGACTGCGCCTTCCTGTGCTGGATCATTTCGAGCCACCCCGCCGTTCACGAAAGTTTGGAGTTTGTTGGCAATGTCAAAGCACTATCCCCAGCATTACATCCTCATCACCCAGTCGACAGTTCGAACGACACCTTCCAAGTACACCGCGCCATGCGACACGTCCGCCATGCAACGCTGCTATCGAGCGATCGAATTCGCTATCGGTCACCGGCACTTTAGTCGCAATTGGGTCGTGGTAGAGAAACGGGGTCGCGATGCCGACCTTAAGGTTGGAGTAGTCTTTGGCGGCGACAGTCGATTGCAAGTCGTCCAAGCGAGCGTCCGAGGGGCCTATATAGCACCACGGGAACGCGAGTTGCTCCTTGAACCAGTCGGCCATCACGACTTGGTGACCGGTCATGTTGACCGTGGCCCAGTAAAAGTTGTTCTCAAAGTTTACGTTGCAAAGTACGAGATGCCCCCCACAAGGCATGAGCTCTCCCAAAGGAACCAGGAAGCCGACAACGCCTGCACATAGTTGGCGCGATCCAATCGTTCATGCAAAACCGTGATCGACTACTTCGACACACGAAAGGAGGAGGCAGCGAGAGATGGAAAATAAACAAGCCGTTTAGGCACTGTCGTTGTGGTGCCATCCTCTTTTTCCTCGACTAGATGACTTGACATATCACTACCAAAAGCGGCACCACCCGACGATGTAGCACTGGCACAGGTTTTCATGGGATCCCGCCTGCGTGATGAGTCGCTGGACTTGAGCCGTCATCACGTTCAATGGCTCGGAATCGTCGTCGAAAAAGTCGCGACCATTCAGTTTCGACACGACGCGTGACTGGCTTTTCGTTGAGGGCTTCTTGAGGGGCGCCGGCTCCTTCCGGGCCCAACGCGTTGACGAGTTCACGTTCGCGATGGCTGCGTCGTAGCTCCAGGA